GTGACCACGGGCAGGAAGCGGCGCTGCGGCTGGCTGGACCTGGTGATCCTGAGATACGCCCACATGATCAACGGCTTCACTGCGTAAGTGCTCTGAGAACGTGCTGTCCTCGAGGTCCCCACACCAGGCACTTGGAGTTGGGCAGACTGGCAGCAGGGGTATCAGCCATCCAGGGCAGAGGTGCGGGGCCAGGCTGAGCACCTGCCCGGGAAGACGATGCCAGTGGAATTGGTGTTAACTTACCAACGAGCTCTCACTGCTGGCCTGAAGCCTACAATGCCGCTAGAACCTGCTCACTGGTACCCCTCATGCGGTGCCCAAGGCACGCACCTACCTGCCCTACCTGACAGACCTGAAGTGCACCTCTGTGCCTGGACCATTCCTGGGCTCTTGAGCTTCACTCTCAGCTCCCTGTGGGCACGAGAGGTGCAGGAGGATGGAAAGCCCACAGGGTGGAGGGGGGGTCCCTGGGTTGCTGGTCAATTGCGGCCTTGTCCATCTCTGGTTGCGGCCTCATCCGTCTCTGGTTGCGGCACAGGCTGGCGCTGACCAAGCTGGACATCTTGGATGTGCTGGATGACATCAAGGTCGGCGTCTCCTACAAGCTGAACGGGAAGCGGGTCCCCTACTTCCCAGGTGTGAGCCTCGAGGCTGCTGTCCACGTGTGGCAGTCACTGTGGACGCTGGGGGAATGCAGCTTCTCAGAGAGGACGGTGGAGTGGATTAGACTCAAAGTGCAAGTGCATCCCTTTGCTAGTGTCCACTACCCCCTGACCTTGAGAGGCCTGGGAGGCCCCCCCAGGGTCCTCAGGGAGCCTGCGGAGCTGGTGGGGGGCACAGGTGGCGGGCAGCTGCAAGGCCCATGTGGACTTTGCAGTGGCTGTTCCAGCATCACCCTGTGGTGACACTGCTGGGAGCTGCAAGTCACTGCATAAGTGGGTCCCCTTTCCTCGGGGAGCTGATGCTCTCAGGAGGAGCTGAGGCCCCCAGATCCTCACTCTGAGGATTTCTGAGTGGGTCCTTGGATGCTATCTTCAGTGGGAGCTCTAGCAAAGCGTTCAGTGGATACACAACAGGGTGGGCATGTCCCCCAGGTCTGGAAGGGGGACAGCCCGAAAGGCACTAATGGGAGAAGGCCCAGCAGGGCTCCTCGTTTCTCCATGTGAGTCCTGGGCAGCCAGGCCCCAGGCTCTGGTTGAGTTCACAGTGAGAGGAAAGCAGGGGGCCCCAGCCCACCCTGTGTACATTCCCTCCTCAGCCAACCAGGAGACCCTTCAGAAGGTGGAGGTTGAATACGAAACTCTGCCGGGATGGAAAGTAGACACCACGGCAGCCAGGAAGTGGGAGGACCTCCCAGCCCAGGCCCAGAACTATGTCCGGTTTGTGGAGAACCACGTTGGGGTGGCAGGTGGGTACCCTTCCAGCACTGGCCTGTGGTCCCACTGGGTACAAGACTTGGCCAGACAATAAGAAAGCACCCTGGTGTTTTAAAACCAGTAACCTAGTTTCCCTGGTGTTCTGGTTACCTAGTGCCGCTCTAACAGAAGATACCACAAATGTGGATGGCCTTAACAAACAGGAGTTTATTCTCTTACAGTTCAGGAGGCTAGAAGTCCAAGTTCAAAGTGCCAGGCTGTAAGGCTGGGTGAAAGCCCCTCAACCTTGGGCTTCAGCTCTGACCCTTGCTTCCGGCCCACTGAAGCTAGAGGCATCTCTGCACTCAGGCAGCTACTGGCTGCTGAGGCTGACAAGCCCAAGGTTGACAAGTAAAATGGCACAGTCCCAATGTTACCAAGCCACATGGCAGGCCATCAATTCAAGTCCATTGAAAGTCCCAAAGTCGGCAGAGCGTGGCAGGCTGCTGAACAACGACACAGCTACATGCAGGGTCCAAGCGTGTCATAAGCTAGAGACCATTCCCAAAGCTGCTGCTTATATACGGGAAGCAGACCACATCCCCAAAGCAGCTACTCAGCTGCTCTAGTAGATTCCACCATGGAGCTGATTGCCAGTCTCACCATGGGGAATAACTACATTCAGCTGCCCAGCCCCTCACCCAGGCCCCACCAAGGTGACACACAAACTTAACCACCACACCTGGTGTTGTCTTCAACTGGTGGGGCCCCCACGTGTGTCAGAGCAGAGCTGGCGTCCTCGGGGCTCTCAGTGGCTGGTCATTTGGAAGCACATTGTCAGGCCTGTCTCCCGAGGTGCCTCTGGGTGGACTCAAACTTCCAACGTTCTGGTGAGCAGCTGAGTGTGTTCAGTGTTCACACCCAGGACTCCTCCCACTGCCCGTGTTAACTACAGGAGGGAGGGGCCTTGGGACGCAGGAGGTTCCACATGGTTCTATTGTGCACCTGAAACTCCTCTACAAGCAGTCTCTTTAAAATGTGACTTCACTACTTTGATTCTACTCCAGTAATGATCCACAAAATTGAAGGACAGAAGCCACTTGGCGGACATCTGTCCCGGCTGCACTAACTCCTCTGTCTTTCCAGTCAAGTGGGTCGGTGTCGGAAAATCAAGAGAGTCCATGATCCAGCTGTTTTAGACGAAGACTGAGCCGACCCCAAGAAGCCACGGTAACATCCCCATCCCCACCATGCCAGCTGCCGCC